AGCCTCCAAAGTCACAGAGAAACCCTGTCTCAAAACACACACACACACACACACACACACACACACACACACACACACACACACACACAAAGAATAGGCACTCATGAAAATAAGGATCCTTAGGGTTGTAGGATAGTGGGAGAGTGCCATTTAACACCCAAAGCATGCAGGAGGCTCTGGAAACAATCCCTAGCATCAAAAAGAAAAGACAGACAAGCAAAACTCAAGTTGAGTATGGTGGTCTGCCCTCTAATCCTGACACTAAAAAACAAAGGCAGAAGAATACATGTTTGAGGCCAACCTGTTCTATATGATGAGTTCCAGGACAGGTAGGGCTACACAGTAAACCCTTGTCTCAAAAACAAAATAAACTAGGCCACAGTGGCACATGCCTTTAATTCCAGCACTCCAGAGGCAGAGGTATATCGATCTCTGAATTCGAGGCTACCTTGTATACAGAATGGATTCCAGGACAGCCAGGACTACACAGAGAAACCTCTCTCAAAACAAAACAGGAACAAAAACACAAAACAAAAACAAAACACCAAAACTAGTTGCTGGATAGGTGGCTCAGCAGTTAAATCACTTGTTCTTTCAGAGGACATGGGTTTGGTCCCAAGGTGACTCACAACCCTCTTTTGGCCTTCACAGGCACTGCATGTGTGTAGGGTGTATACAGACAAGCAGGCAGAACTCATTTAAAAAAAAAAATTCCTCAGCTGGGAATAGTGGTGCATGCCTTGAAACCCAGCACTTGGGGGGCAGAGGCGGGAATATCTATGTAGGTTCAAGGACAGCCTGGTCTACATAGGACAGCCAGGGTTATATAATGCCTTGGCAGGGAGTTGGGGACAACAAAGCTTCAGAACAGCACAAATGGGCCAGACCCCTTGAAGGTGTTCATTTCCTTTCCCGGGTCTCAATTTCCCTATTGATAAACAGATTTACTGAATTCAACAGCTCTGGGGTCTTTTTCAGCTTTGATGCCCTCCTGGCTCTTAGCAGGAAGTCCATGTAGCAACCTGAGTGTACCTTCACTTCCCTCTGGAGTCTGCCAGATCTGTCCAATCTGTGCCCAACACTGAACCATACTTTCTTAAAACACTATGAGACTTTTGTATGTGTCATTTTTATCTATAACTTGATTACAGTTTTCAAGCATGGAATTTGTAGATGACGATGCACTGTCGGAATCCCTAGGTGACTTTTGCTTCAAGTTACCTCTGCCCCTGGTTCCAAAGAAGTTGGAACTTGCCCACTAACCCTCCCACAAAACGCAACAGGAGGGATGGAGCCTAGGTCCCCGAATGTAAAGAAGCTGAGTGAAAGAGTTCCTGAGGTTATAGGGAAAGTAGTGATTGAAGGGCTGGAAGCTGAGTGACACCCAAGATCTGCTCAATTATGATGAGAGCTGGACAGACGCAGAGAGGGCTAAGAAACGATTTTGTAAGGCAACAGGTCTGCAGGACCAATCCACAAGAGTCAAGGAAGCTCCCCTATGCCCCACCCAGCTCCAGACAAGCACCACCCCTGGGGAAGAAGCTGGGAAAAGCAGAGCTTGTAGAGTTGTGGGGAAAGGGATGGAGTCCACGCCACACCCCCACCCCAAATTTAAACATGAGAATGATCTGCCCTCTGGTGGCCAAAGGGAGTCTCACTGCCCATCCTCTGTAATATGTCACTTTTAGGACCAAGGTCTGAAAAGCAGGGAGGAGAAAGGAAACTGTTCAAGTATAAAGGCAGACACATTCAGGGTGGTCCTACTGACCCTAAATAACCCTGCCTTTTAAAGTTTTATTTATTTAATGTAGTTTGGGTTTTTGCCTACATGTATGTCTGTATGAAGGTGTCAGATATGTTGGAGTTACAGACAGTTATGAGCTGCCATGTGGGAGCAGGGAATTGAACTGGGGTCCTTTGTAAGAGTAGCCAGTGCTCTTAACCACTGGGCCATCTCTCTATCTCCCAACTCTGGCTTCTCAAGACTGCACTCAGACCCTGACCTTGCCCTTGGTCATTTCCCCTTTTCTCCTCTCACAAGACTGCTAAATGAGTCTACTCACCCAGACTCTGACCCAGACTCTGGAGAAGCCAGAATAATCTTCAAGGTCAACTCCAGGGGCATCTGCATTTATCTAGAACACTGTCCTCAACTCTCCAGAGGGCTTAAGCCAGGGTCACTTCATGAGCCAATGACCTATGTCACACACACACCTGTACTCCGAACAGCTTTGTGCTTGATTTAATGTAAAGCTGTTATTCTTTGTTTTGGTTTGTTTTGGTTTTTTTTGAGACAAGGTTTCTCTTTGTAGTTCTGGCTGTCCTGGAACTCACTCTGTAGCCAAAACTGGCCTTGAACTTACAAAGATCTGCCTGCCTCTGCCTGCCAAGTGTTGGGATTAAAGGCAGGCACCATCACTGCCTGGCAAAGGGCAAAGCTATCATTCTTATGAAAAAAATTTTTTTTCAAGTTAAGGAGGCTCTGGGTTTTGTGTGTGTGTGTGTGTATGGGCACCATCACTGCCTGGCAAAGGGCAAAGCTATCATTCTTATGAAAAAAAAATTTTTTTCAAGTTAAGGAGGCTCTGGGTTTTGTGTGTGTGTGTGTGTATGGGAATGTGTGTGTGTGTGTGTGTGTGTGTGTGTGTGTGTGTAGTATATGCAAGCATTTGTATGGTTGTGCTCATGTACACGTTAGTGCACTTGAACACATGCCAGAGATCAATCAACCAAAGTTCAATATCTTTTCTCAGTGTCTGTCCATCTTGGGTTTTTTTGTTTGTTTTTTTCGAGACAGGGTTTCTCTGCATTGCTTTGGAGGTTGTCCTGTAACTCACTCTGTAGACTAGGCTGTCCTTGAACTCACAGAGATCTTCCTGCCTCTGCCTCCACCGCCCGGCTCCATCTTAGTTTTTGCTGTTGTTCACATTTATTGGCTCGTGTGTGTCCGTGTGTAAGTGCCCACCCCACGGAGTGCCTGGGAAGCCCAGAGGAGCCGTGGGAGCGGGCTCTTCCTCCC